ACTAAGCATTTGTCCTGCCTAATAGTCAGCTGTCACCCCTGGTGACACAGTAGGTCCCTCAAAATCTGTGACCATGGCACTAAATCATTACTTTACAGGAATAGTTGCCTTTTATCTGGGGCCTAATTACAGCTGAGACAATGGAAACAATTCTTCCTATTCCATGAAAGACAAAAAAAAAAAAAAAGTTTAGCTCACTCAAAGCATTTGAACTGAAATACTATTCATAGTGCTAAATGAAGAAAACCACTTGGAAGGCAGATTGTTTCACAGTAAAGTAAAGTTAATTGGAATTGCTAATGCAATACAAAGAGAGGTTTTCATGACTATATCCATTTATAATACCTGTTAATCAGAACAAAGTTGAAGGAGTGCCCTGTGGCCTGTTTCACCCTGTCCCTTATACGATCCAGGACAGGAATCCAGGGCTTTGGAGACAATGTGATGCCGGAAAATGTGTAACTCAACCCCTCATCTCCATAAGTTACTTGTTTTCTGGGTACAGTATGCCATTTTCCAAAAACGTGAACTTTACTAAGATCCCCTGTGGATTTAACAAGAAAGAAACGTGATTAAACCTTTTGTACATTTATCCATTGTACCTAAAGTCAAAGTCTGTTTAATGCACAGTAGACATAACTATGTCAGTTTATTGTATCGTTACTTGGTGCAAGCCATTCTCTACTCTTCGCTATATTTCACAGATACAACTAGGTTTGAACAACTTAGTAGCCAACAGGTAACATTTCTCCCCAGCCAGAATGGGTACTTCCAAAGCTTGTGCAAGTTAAATGAGAATAAAAAAGCAACATTTATATAGATTTCAAGATGAAGTCAGCCCAACACTGAAGCTAACACTCAGCTTTACAGTACAGTAGAAGCAATTCTCCCCAGTCACCTTCATTATGGGGTGGAGCATTATTTCATAACTTAGTGGGTCCTAACTGCTGGTCAGGACCACTGATAACACGATCTCTGAATGGATGTGAACCTAAAATTGACATCAGGCTGCAGGTTGTATTGGGAAAGTATAGCGCATTTTAAGTGAGAACATGTAGTGGAATATTGTAGCCTTGCAGAAAATATGGGGGCAGTCACTGCTGACCTTCACCAACAAATGCTAGTTGCCTGGCTATGATCCTGACCCACTGGCATAGTCACTGACTATAATAAGTAAGCAGATCATCAATCTTTATCTGCTTTTTTTTTTAGAAGAAGCACTCAGCAATGAAAGCCTTCATTTTCCGTCATGAAAGTTTTACTTGGTTGCTCTAAATCTGAAGAGGTGTTAACCAATCAGGGTGGATCAACTATTAAAATCACTCTTTATACCCATTTAAGAACTGCTGAGACCTCATAGCAGCAGTACAGGGAGTGCATCCAGTGAGTTTCATCGTAAGAAGGAGCAAAGCAAAAGCGGTTTGTCTATCATTGGACATGGAAGGCATACTTCACTAAGTGTGAGTCTTGGGGCTTCCATCCTTAAAGTTTTGTCCTTGGCACAAATACTCTCATTCTTGCAGCTGAGTCTGGACCAAGGTTTGTCTCTCATATCTATCAAGTCAGATTTCTGCCCTTTGCATTGTTTCAGAGACCTCTCACTCTTTAATTAAGACCTGTGGA